AAGGCTCTTCCACGCAAACAACCGCACACATATCTACATCCACTACTACACCAACCACATCATCAGTCATCGTATCCACCTCCGCAACAACACCCAATACTGCTTCTGATACAACATCTTCCACGAAATCTGATACGAGTTCAAACACTGCGGTAAATACACCTACAACTAAGAACACATCTACATCCACAACTACACTGAAGACTACACCCACATCTACACCAACATTTACACCCACATCTACACCCACATCTACACCAACATCTACACCCACATCTACACCCACATCTACACCCGCATCTACACCCACATCTACACCTACACATCTACACCCACATCTACACCCACATCTACATCCACATCTAGACCTACATCTACACCTACATCTACACCGACAACTACACCCACAACTACACCCACAACTTCAACTACACCGACTACACCCACATCTACACCCACATCTACACTCACATATACACCCACAACTACTCCTGCATCTACACCCACAACTTCAACTACACTGAAGACTACACCTACATCTACACCCACATCTACACTCACACCTACACACACAACTTCAACTACACCGACAACTACACCATCATCTACACCCACATCTACACCTACATCTACGCCCACAACTTCAACTACACCGACAACTACACCAACATCTACCCCCACATCTACACTCACAACTTCAACTACACCCACAACTACACCTACATCTACACCCACAACTTCAACTACACCGAAAACTACACCTACATCTACCCCCACATCTACACTCACAACTTCAACTACACCCACAACTACACCTACATCTACTCTCACAACTTCAACTACACCAACGACTACACCAACATCTACACCCACATCTACACTCACAACTTCAACTACACCCACAACTACAACCACATCTACACCCACAACTTCAACTACACCCACAACTACACCCACATCTACCCCTACATCTACACCCACAACTTCAACTACACCCACATCTACACCCACAACTTCAACTACACCCACAACTACACCCACATCTACACCCACAACTACAACTACACCCACTTCTACACCTACATCAACACCCACAACTTCAACTACACCCACATCTACACACACATCTACACCCACATCTACACCCACAACTACACCCACATCTTCAACTACAACTACAACTACACCCAAATCTACAACCACATCTACAACTACATCTACACCCACAACTTCAACTACACCCACATCTACCCCCACATCTGCACTCACAACTTCAACTACACATACAACTACACCCACATCTACGCTCACATCTACACCCACATCTACACCTCACATCTGCACAACAACTCCCCACATACACCCAACACCCACACCCCACATCTACACCTTCCACAACTTCAACTACACTCTAAATCTACACCCACATCTACACCTACATCTACACCCACAACTTCAAATACACCCACAAGTACACCCACATCAGCACCCACATCTACACTCACAACTTCAACTACACCCACAACTACACCCACATCTACTCCCACAACTTCAACTACACCCACATCTACACCCACCTCTACCTCCACATCTGCACTCACAACTTCAACTACACCCACACCTACACCAACATCTACACCCACAACTTCAACTTCACCCACAACTATTCCTACATCTACACGTACATCTAGACCCACAACTTCAACTACACCGACAACTACACCCACATCTACCCTCACATCTACACTCACAACTTCAACTACACTCTACAACTACACCCACATCTACATCCACATCTACACCCTCACAACACCCACATCTACACCCACAACTACACCCACAACTAAACCTACATCTACACCTACAACTCCAACTACAACGACAACAACAACACCCACATCTACGCCCACATCTACACCCACAACTTCAACTACACCCACATCTACACCCATAATTTCTTACCTACATCTACACCCACAACTTCAACTACACCCACAACTACACCCACATCTACACCCTACATCTACAGTCACAACTTCTCACTACACCCACAACTACATCCACATCTAAACCCACAACTTCAACATCTACACCTCACACTACACACCTACATCTACACCCACACATCTACACTCTACAATCTCAACTACACTACACCAATATTTACACCCACATCTACACCCACAACTTTCAACTACACATCTAAACTACATACTCAACAATTCACCATCATCTACACTCCACAGCTTCACTACACCTACAACTACACTTCACATCTACACCTACAACAATCTTCTACCATAATCTACACTCTACATCTACACCTACAACATTTACAATCTACATTCAACACACTACAATCTACAATTTCAACTACACCTACACATTCTACACTCTGCATCTACACCTACATCTACACCACTTCTAATTCCAACATCTACACCCACATCTACACTCAAAACTACACCTACATCTTCACTCACATCTACACTTACACAACTTCAACACTACACCTACAACTAAGCACCCACATCTACACCCACAACTTCACCTACAACTACACATAACAACATCTACATCTACATCTACACTCTACATCTACACCCACATCTACACCACATTACACCACATCTACACCTACATCTACACCCACAACTTCACCTACACCAACATCTACAATTCCTACATCTACACCACATATCAACATCTTCAACTTTCACATCTACAACTTACACCATACCTACACCCACATCTTCACACAATTTCAACTACACCCACATATCTACACTCCACAACTTCACCACTACATCTCAACTACTTCCTACATTCTACATTTACACTTATAACATCAACTACACCTACACCTACACTTCTACATCTACACCCACAACTTCAACTACACTTCCACAACTACCCCTACATCTACACCTTCAATCTTTACACCCACAACTTACACTACAATATCTACACCTACAATTTCAACTACATCTACACAACTACTACATCTACATTCTACAACTTCAACTACACCACTACCACATCTACACCAACAACTTCATAACTACACCTACAACTACACTCTACATCACATACCCCAACTTTCAATTCTACACCAACAACTACACCTACATCTATACCTACATCTACACCAACACAACTTCAACTACACCTACAACTACACTCTTAAGCTTACAACTCCACAAATCTCAACTACAACTACAACTACACCCACTTCTACACCTACATCAACACCTACAACACTCAACTACACCTACATCTACACACACATTCTACACCTACATTCTACACCCACATCTACATCCAAAATCTACACTCCATATCTTTCAACTTCAACATCATACACCTACATAAATTTACACCTACATCTACAAACAACATTCTTACACCTACAACTTTAACCACACCCCACATCTACACCTACATTCTACACTCTAACATCTGCACTCACAACTTCAACTACACCTACAACTACAGCCACATTCTACTTCCACACATCAACACTCTACAACTTCAACATGACCATATCAACACCTATAACTTCAATTCTACACCTCTACATTTACACCAACATCTACACCCACATATCTACACCTACAACTTCAACTACATCTACAAGTACACCTACATCAGTACCCTTACATCTACACTTTCACAACTTTCAATTTAACTACACCTACATCTACACACACATCTACTTCCCACAACTTCAACTACACCTCACACATCTACACCCCACATCTACCCTCACATCTGTACTCACAAGTTCAACTACACCCACATCTACTTCCTACAACTTCAACTACACCTACATCTACACCCACATCTACACCTACATTCTACACTCCACAACTTTCAACTACACCTACATCTACACCTACAACTTCAACTACACCTACAAGTACAGCTCACATTCTACACCTACAACTTCTCAGTACACCTACAACTACTTCCCACAACTACACCTTCCACTTCTACACCAACAACTTCAACTAAACTGGCACAACTAAGCAACACATCTACCCTACATCTACACCCACAACTTCAACAACACCCACATCTACACCCACATCAACACTCACAACTTCAACTACACCAACAACTACACCTACATCTACACCCACAACTTCAACTACACCCACAACTACACCCACATCTACCCCCACATCTACACTCACAACTTCAACTAAACCCACATCTACACCCACAACTTCAACTACACCCACAACTACACCTACATCTACACCCACAACTTCAACTACACCCAAAACTTCCCCAACATCTACCCCCACATCTACACTAACAACTTTAACTACACCCACATCTACACCCACAATTTCTAACTGCACCTTCAACTACACCCTACATCTACACCCACATCTACACCCACAGCTTCAACTACACCCACAACTACCCCAACATCTACCCCCACATCTACACTCACAAGTTCAACTACACCCACATCTACTCCCACAACTTCAACTACACCCACATCTACACCCACAACTACACCCACATCTACACCCATAACTTCAACTACACCCACATCTACACTCACAACTTCAACTACACCTACATCTACACCCACAACTTCAACTTCACCCACAAGTACAGCTATATCTACACCCACAACTTCAAGTACACCCACAACTACTCCCAGAACTACACCCACTTCTACCCCCACAACTTCAACTAAACCGACAACTACAACCACATCTACCCCTACATCTACACCCACAACTTCAGCAACACCCACATCTACACTCACATCTACACCCACAACTTCAAATACTCACAGAACTACACCCACATCTACACCCACAACTTCAACTACACCCACAACTACACCCATAACTACACCCACACCTACACCCACAACTTCAACTAAACCGACAACTACAACCACATCTACCCCCACATCTACACCCACAACTTCAACTACACCCACATCTAGAACCACAACTTCAACTACACCCACAACAACACCAACAACTACACCCACATCCACACCCACAACTTCAACTACTTCCACAACTACACCCACATCTACACCCACAACATCAACTATACCAACAACTACACCCATAACTACACCCACATCTACACCCACAACTTCAACTACACCTACAACTACACCTAAATCTACACCCACAACTTCAACTACACCCACAACTACACTTACATCTACACCCACATCTACACACACAACTTCAACTACACCCACAACTACTCCCACAACTATACCCACATCTACACCCACATCAACACTCACAACTTTAACTACACCCACAACTACACCCACATCTACACCCACAACGTCAACTACACCCACAACTACACCCACATCTACACCCACAACTTCAAGGACACCCACAACTACACCCACAACTACACCCACATCTACACCCACAACTTCAACTACACCCACATCTACACTCACAACTTCAACTCTACACCAACATCTACACCTACAACTACACCATACCCCACAAGTACACCTACATCTACACCCACAACTTCAACTACACTTCCACATCTTCAATTACACCTACACCAACATCTATACCCACAACTTCAACTAAAACTGACAATTCACAACCAACATTTTACACCTACATCTACACCTACAACTTCTCAACCCAATACTCTACACTACACCCACATTTTACACCCCACAATCTTTAACTACTTCTACACAACATCTACACCCACATCTACACCCACAACTTCAACTACACCCACATCTACACCTATAACTATACCCACATTTACACTCTACAACTTTCAACTACACCTACAACTACAATTCTACATTTACACCCACAACTTTCATAACTACACCCACAACTACAATTCTTACATCTACCCCCATATTTTACACCCTTACAACTTCATTCAACTATAACCCCATATCTACATTTCTACTTTACTACACCTTCACAACTTCAACTACTACTTCTTACATCTACATCAAATCACAAATATCAATCTACACCTTCCACAACTACACTTTTACATCTACACCTACACTACTTTCTACTACACCAACAACTACTTCCACAATACCTAGATCCACTTCTACAATTTCTCAACTTTCAACTAAAACTGACAACTACATCTCACATTCTACCTCTACATTCTATATTTTACAAATCATCTTAACAACACCTACAAATAACACCCACATATCTACACTCTACAACTTTCAACTACTTCTCACAACTACAATTCCCACATTTACACTTCACAATTTCAACTTCTACTCCACAAATAAATACCCCACAAGTACACCCACATCTACAATTTCCTACAACTTCAATTACACTCTACACCATACATCCTACACTCTACAAATTTCAAACTACACCTAAACTACCCTAAATATCTACCCTACATTTTACACTTCACAATTTCAATACCCACATCCACACTCTACATCTTTTACACTACAACTTCAATCTACACTACCACAACTACTTCCCACATTTATTTCTACATCTACACTTTCACAATTTCTAACTACACCTATATATCTACACCATACAACTTCAACTCAAGCATTCACACCAATACACTCTACATTCTTACAATTTCCACAACTTTCAACTTCACCTACATATCTACACTTACAACTTTCAATTCACACCCCACATTCTACAATACACTCACATTTACAATCAAGCAACTTTTCAACTACACCTACAACTACACTCTACATATCTACTCTACTACTTCAACATCTACAACTTCAACTACACCTACAATTACACCTACATTTTACACCTACAACTTCAACTAAACCCCACAAGTACACCCCACAACTACACACACATTTACAACTTCCTACAACTTCAATTATACCCATATCTACACCTACAACTTTAACTATACATACACCCATATTAAGCACACTCTATATCTACCTCTATACTGACAATTTCCACAACTTTAACTATGTTGCACAACTACACCCACATCTACCCCTACTTTCTACACTTACAACTTCACCATACTCTACATTTTAAGCATTCACAAATATCAACTACACCTACAAATTACACTCTACATTTACACCTACACAATTTCTACTACACCAACAACTCATTCCTACAATTAGACCTATTTCTACTAAATCTCAATTAAAACTGGACAACTATATCTATATTCCTATTCTACATCTACATCTTCACAACTTTCAACAATACCTACACTACAACACCTACATCTACACCTATAACTTCTAATAATTTCCTACAACTACATACCTACATTTCTACATTTCACAACTTTCAACTTTCTACCTCTCACAACAAATACCTACAAGTACAACCTACACATCTACACCTACAACTTCAACTACACCTACACCACAACTACTTCCTACATCTACACCTACAACTTCATAATTATAACTCCAAAACTACTTTCTAACATCTACCTCTAACATCTACACTTCACAACAACAACTACACCTTACATTTTACACCTACAACTTTCAACTACATTTAAACAACTACTACACTCTACATCTACACCTACATCTACACCTACAACTTCAAATACACCTACATCTACACTCCACACAACTTTCAACTACACCCACATCTACACCTACAACTTCAACTACACCCCTACAAGTACACCCACATCTACACCACATCTACACCCACAACTTCAACTACACCTAAAACTACTCCTAACATCTACATCTACTACATCTACACTCTCATCACAACTTCAAATACAATTCCACATCTACACCTACAACTTCAACTACATCCACAACTACACTCAACATACCTACACCCACATCTACACCTACAACTTCATCTACACCTACATCTACACCTACAACTTTCATCTACACCTACAACTACACCTACATCTACAATTCCACAACTTTCAACTACACCCACATCTACACCTACAACTTCAACTACACCTACAAGTACACTCTTACACTACACCTGTACATCTACACTCCACATCTTCACTACAACTACACCTACATCCACACCTACATCTACACCTACAACTTCAACTACACCCACAAACTACAATCTACACACATCTACACCCTACATCTACATCCACAACATCAACTACACCCACAACTACACCTACATCTACACCTACAACTTTAAATATCTACACCAACAACTACACCTACAACTACACCTTACATTCTACACCTCTTCAACTTCAACTAAAACTGACAACTACATCCACATCTACCCCCACATCTACACTCACAACTTCAACAACACCCACAACAACACCCACATCTACACCCACAACTTCAACTACTCCCACAACTACACCCACATCTACACTCACAACTTCAACTTCACCCACAACAACACCCACAAGTACACCCACATCTACACCCACAACTTCAACTACACCCACAACTACCCCTACATCTACACCCACAACTTCAACTACACCCAAAACTACCCCAACATCTACCCCCACATCTACACTCAAAACTTCAACTACACCCACATCTACACCCACAACTTCAACTACACCCACAACTACACCTACATCTACCCCCACATCTACACCCACAACTTCAACTACACCCACATCTACACCCACAACTTCAACTACACCCACAACTACACCTACATCTACACCCACAACTTCAACTACACCACACATCTACACCCACAACTTCACACTACACTTCTACAACATACACTCACAACTACACCCACATCTACACCCACAACTTCAACTACACCTACATCTACTTCTCCTACATCTACACTTTTACAACTTCACTACACCTTCCATCTACACCCACACCTACACCTTCAACTACACCCACAACTACACCTACATTCTACACCTACAACTTCTACACCCACAACTACACCTACATCTACACCCACAACAACTACACCTACACATCCACACCCACAACTTCAACTACACCCAAAACTACCCCCACATCTACCTCCACATCTACACTTACAACTTCAACTACACCCACATCTACACCCACAACTTCAACTACACCCACAACTACACCTACATCTACCCCCACATCTACACCCACAACTTCAACTACACCCACATCTACACCCACAACTTCAACTACACCCACAACTACACCCACATCTACCCCCAAATCTACACCCACAACTACTCCGACAACAACACCCACATCTACACCCACAACTACAACTACAACTTCAACTACACCCACATCTACACCCTACATCTACACTCACAACTTCAACTTCACCCACAACAACACCCACAACTACACCCACATCTACACCCACAACTTCAACTACACCCACAACTACCCCTACATCTACACCCACAACTTCAACTACACCCAAAACTACCCGCACATCTACCCCCACATCTACACCAACAACTTCAACTACACCCACAACTTCAACTACACCCACAACTATACCTACATCTACACCCACAACTTCAACTACACCCACAACTACACCTACATCTACCCCCACTTCAACACTCACAACTTCAACTACACCCACAACTACTCCCACAACTACACCCACATCTACAGCCACAACTTCAACTACTACTCCCGGACAACTACACCCACATCTACACCTACATCTACCCCCACTTCAACACTCACAACTTCAACTACACCCACAACTACTCCCACAACTACACCCACATCTACACTCACAACTTCAACTACACCCACAACTACACCCACAACTACACCCACATCTACACTCACAACTTCAACTACACCCACAACTACACCTACATCTACACCCACAACTTCAACTACACCCACAACTACACCCACATCTACACCCACATCTACACCTACAACTACACACTTACATCTACACCCACAACTTCAACTACACCCACAACTACACCTCCACATCTACACCCACAACTTCAACTACATCTACACCTCAACAACAACTACACCTACATCTACACCTAAAATTCTACACCTACACCTACATCTACACCTACAAATCACAATCTACACTCTACATCTACACCTACATTCTTACACATCTACAACTTCTACTACTCACCTACAAATACACTCCACATCTACCATCTACATTTTACACAAATAACTTCAATTCTACACCAACATTATACTCAACTTCCTACAACTTCTACACTACATCTACAACTACAACTACCACATCTACACCCCACATCTTACACCATACATTACTACATTTTACCTACACTCCACATTTAGTATCTACACCTACAACTACAATCTACACTCTACACTACATTCTTACAATATCTACACCTACATACATACTACAACTTTCAACTACACCTACATTCTACACCCTACATCTACACCTACAACTTCAACTACCCACATCTACACCTACACCTACAACTACACTACACATCTACACCTACAACTTCAACTACACCTACATCTACACCTACAACTTCACACTACATCTACACCTACATCTACACCTATACATCTACACCCACATCTACAATCTACACCTACAACTACACCTCTACATCTATACTCTACATCTACACACCTTAACATCTACACCCACATCTACACCTACACATCTACACCCACAACTAATACACTACATATCTACACCTACATTTCTACACCCACATCTACACCTACTGGGACATTCTACACCTACATCTACACCTACATCTACACCCACAACTTCAACTACACCCACATCTACACCCACATCTACACCCACATCTACACCCACAACTTCAACTACAATAATTCTACACCTACACCAACTACATCTCTACACCTACAACTTCACATTTTACACCTACATCTACACCCACATCTACACCTACATCTACACCTACAACTTCAACTACACCACAACTACACCCTACATCTACACCTACAACATTCAACTGTACACCTACAACTACACCTTACATCTACACCTACATCTACACCCACAACTTCACCTACACTACACCTACATCTACACCCTTCACATCTACACCAATCTACACCAACATCTACACCTTACATCTACACTCCACAACACTCAACATACACCTACATCTACACCTGCATCTACACCCCACATCTACACTTACACAACTTCAACTACACCCACATCTACACCCACAACTACACCCACACCTACAACTACACCTACATCTACACCCACATCTACACCTACAACTTCAGCTACACCTACATCTACACCTACACAACTACACCTACATCTACACCTACATCTACACCTACATCTACACTCAACAACTACACCTACACCTACACAACTACACCTACATCTACACCTACAACTTCAACTACATCTAAACCTACAACTACACCTACATCTACACCCACATCTACACTTCACAACTACAACTACATCTACACCTACACCTACAACTTCAACTACACCCACATCTACACCTACATCTACACCCACAACTTCAACTACACCCACAACTACACCCACATCTACACCCTACATCTACACCCACATCTACACCTACACCTACAACTACACTACCCAACATCTACACCTACATCTACACCCACATCTACACTCCCTACACCTTCAACTACACCTACAACTACACCAACATCTACACCCACAACTTCAACTACACCCACAACTACACTGACACTACACCCTACATCTACACCATACATCTACACCCACAACTACAACTACACCTACAACTACACCTACACATCCACACCCACACCTTCAACTACACCCACAGCTACACCCACATCTACACCCACATCTACACCAACCAACATCTACCTACACACCTACAACTACACCCACATCTACACCCACAACTTCAACTACACCCCACAACTACACCAACATCTACACCCACATCTACACCCACATCTACACCAACATCTACACCCACATCTACACCCACATCTACACCCACATCTACACCCACATCTACACCTACACCTTTACCTACACCTACAACTTCAACTACACCAACAACTACCCTCTACATCTACACCCCTACATCTACACCCTGCAACTTCAACTACACCTACATCTACACCTACAACAACTACTACACCACAACTACACCCACATCTACACCTACATCTACACCCACATCTACACCCAACAACTACACCTACAACTACACCCACATCTACACCCACATCTACACCCACACCCCCAAAACTACACCTACACATCTACACCTACATCTACACCTCACAACTTCAACTACACCCACAACTACACCTACATCTACCCCCACATCAACACTCACAACTTCAACTACACCCACATTTACACCCACAACTTCAACTACACCCACAACTACACCCACATCTACACCCACATCTACACTCACAACTACACCCACAACTACCCCCACATCTACACCCACATCTACATCCACATCTACACCCACATCTACATCTACATCCACTTATGCTACGTCCATCACTGAAACCGACACAACACCATCGTCTACATACACAGCAATACACAGTACCTTATGGAACACTGCACACACTTTAAGTTCCTCAAATGCATTCATTTCCGCAAGCACCGTGTCACCAGCTGCATCTTCTACTGCACCAGCCATTACACACAGTACCGCATCGGACATTGTACCCACTTCAACTTTGACCACTGAACCAACTACTGGGTCCGCTAATATACTGTCAACTGCATCCGCCACACCTGTATACACAACAACGCACAGTAATTTCAACCGAACATTGCACAAACACAAAAATTCCCGCACTACTGCTTTCCACACTGTCATTCATATCCAGAAGCTCCATTCCATCTGAGTTGAATCATCTACTGCACCCTCTATTACGGGCAGTAGTGCATCCAACACTGCAAATCCACTACACCTTTCAATATTGTAGCAACAGCGGGAACCACCAGTGTTTATACTACTCCTTCCTCCACTGCAACAACAACAACTGTATTTTTCCTTAGCACCCACTACAACTTTTGGCCACTGATCTCCTTACTGTATTGGCTAATACACTTCTTCTGCATCCTCACGTCCACAAGTGTGTCCTCCATAGCACCATCGTCTGCATACACAACAAATATACAGCACTCAATCCAACATTGAACACACTGTTATTTCCCACAAATTCATTCACATCCAGCAGCTCCATTACACTTAAAGCCGCATCAACTTACTGCACCCTCAATCATAGGCAGTACTGTATTATCCATAGCACCCTACCACACACACAACTTTTCCCCGATACTCATACCCACTACCACACTCACTCACCACACCCACAACCAAACTCACAACCACACCCACCATTACTACCCCACAACCACACCTGTAAACACAGCCACAAGTACACATTCTTCAAGAGTCCCCGCTGCCACCAACTACTGCAGGTCCAGTAACATACGTTATGCTTATTGTCAGTGATGATTATCATTTTACTGTAAACTTAATAAATACGAATAATATGTATTATATAATGTTCGAATTCCACACATATGGCATGCTCGTGCTACAAGACATTTATTAGGGCTATGCATACAGGCTAGCATATAAGTGCGGAACGAGGCCGAAATGAAAGTTAAGTTGCTATTGATCGCAATACTTGAAAAAGATGGGTTTTATGTGGAACTTTTAAATGAGGCCACCGAGGGTTATTATTTCGGGAGTTCGCCGGGAGCTGGATTCCATACGTAAACCGTGGAGCACTGATAGCTGAAGGGGAGCGAAACCTGAATGCCCGGAGTTTCTGCCTAGTAATAGCGGAGGAAGGTACCCATTCCGCTTGATCTTAATATTCTTGGAAGGCCAGTGTTGGTGACTAGCTCAACAAGGCACTCTTGAGCCGTAAGATGGTAACACTGGTATAGACTCTCTCTCAGGACCTTGAATTCAATTCTGGCTCTTGATTGGTAGCCAGTGAAGAGACTTAAGAACAGGCGCGTTATGTGGATCCCTTAGAGGAACTTTTGTTGACAAGTCGAGCTGCAGAGCTGTGTACTTCTGGAGTTTTGATAGAAGTTTTTCGGAAAGTTCGTAGGAAATAAGTATACAGTAGTCAATCTGAGGATAACTGGCGATCGCACCATAGTATGAGCTGCCGCTGTAGTAAGGCGGTTTCGGATGCTGCTAATGTTCCGCAAATGGAAGTAACAGGATTTGCGTTATCGTGCCGGAACATGAGCTTTCAAAACAGAGATCAAAGTCCGCATGAAGCCCAAGCTCTTTACGGTTTTCGAAATTGGAATGACAGTATGCAAAACGCATCGAAAGTGCAAGCTCCATCACTGAATAAAGATTCTTCCGAGTGCTGACATGCAACGCTCTGTCCCGTATCCGTGCAGTTTGAGCAAACGTTCATCCATGCTTTTATACCACTTGTACATCTGACAGTTCCGCCTGCATTCTACGCCCACGTACCGGGATTGCAAATTGAATCATACACAACCAAGTGCTCACCAGCACAAAAATGGTGGCTCGTTCGATCCGTGTACTGATCATATCTCCCTATATTCCTGGTGTAAAGCGTAAACAATTTTGGTCCTTAGAACCGGATCCTTGTGGTAATTCCACGCGACAAAGTGCTTTTCCTTTAGATGCATGATTATTTATGATGACTGACTGCTGTCGATTGTTGGAGGTATCGAAACAAACCAGCATGATAGTGCCATTCCGGTTAATTCCAATGGAAGCCCCCAAGTTGTCTAAGAAGTATATTGTGGTCAAGAGTACAAAAGCGGCCACAGGCCTGGCAGTTAGTACAAGTAGGGTACCTCTTCCTGCTGTCATAACGAGATAAAGCAAATCATTCGTGACA